ATATCCATGAGATGAGGAGGGCGTGGGTGCGTACTTCACTTGGACGTCACTACGGCTGCGCTTTGAGAGGAATGTTTCCGCTTTGCAACAGTTGTAATTGTCTTTCTCCACACAAAACAAGCACAAAACAAGATGATAGCTGCTTCAAGTAAAAATATCGGAGAAAAATGCTGTCATGTTCCAATGAAAAGCGTAGCACTAGCCACTCCCGCTCCATCTTCGGGATATGGAGTGTAGTTGAGGGGAAATTGAAATTGTCGTCGGGATAAGTTCACGTTGGAGTATTGCACCTAACCTTTTGCCTGAACTTTCTTTGTCAGCCTAAATTAGCAGGGTCCTGGTGCCTCTCTTCCTGCGAGCCGAATCCCCTAATAAAATCATTTTACAGGGCGAAAGCTCTACACCATCTACTTTAGCAGGCATTAGAATATTTATAAATTTATAATTCAACAACAATCATGGAAACGGAATTATCGTCAACGATCGCCGTTGTTCTCGATTGAATCGATCATCGTCAATCCGGAGGAGATCATTGTTGCTGAACCTGTTACTGGGATTGTTCGGAGAACTCAGCCTGAAACACCGAAATCCTCTTGCAGATCAATTTTTTTCCTTGAACTTTTCAACTTTCTTCATTTCTTAGTGAAGGCAACGCAATCAACATTTGCAGTTTATAGGGCTGAGAATTTTTGGACTGTGTGTGACAAATGGAGTAGCGAGAAAAAGCACAACAAACTGTCGGAAATGCTCTGAATAAGAACCCTGTTGGCTCTGAGCATTATTGAGCCAGGGCGTTAATGAGTAGTGTGGGGAAAAGAAGCCCATGGACACTGTAATAGCCGGAGAGTTACGAATTTCACCGAGCCGTGGCGCCTTTCCTAAACCTATTTAAGAAACGAAAGTGGGATACGCTCTATGATTGGACCCCGCCACCTTGTGCAACATAGGGCTTCTGCGTGTGGGGTAACCGCAGGCATTGTCTTTAGGAGTGAGGCAGTAACCAAAAAAACTAATCATTGTAAAAATACCTTCGTCTAGAAGTGTAATCTTGGCTGGCACGGCTTTGTCGGGCGCGAAATATACTTTGGCTGCGACCGTTAATTGCTGGTGATACTTGTGCAGGAGTGACAGGACAGGCTACAAAAATACGTAAATTCAGGATGAAGTGTAGAACTAGCACTTGTCAAAGGCACAGCCATCATTCGCTCAGAACTCTTGAAAATCTTGATAATCATAGCAACAACAATTTGTTTGGGCTTTGCTTTAATATTAAACCTAAACAGTAATTTAAACGCGCGCCGGATTAAACAAAGATCTCATTAAAACAACTGAATTCTTAGTCAAAACCGGTGGCAGATATGCTGGAATGATCATCGAGACTAGGGTCCGAACCAGCAGGCACATAGGTGAATTATTCAGAGGAATGGAAGGTTCTGTCGGCCCAGGTGGCAGTCGATCCGGGGTTTGCCACCCGAACTGTGCACAGGGTAAGTGGCGCCACTTGCCGCTACACCATACGTTGCTGTTTTATCTATGGAGATAAAACCAGAAGAACTCTCCAGGATTGCTGGCCATTCGCCATCGAGGATTCTGTACATAAATGTCCTCGAAGCCCAGTGCACTCAATATTTGACCGCCTACTAAAATCATTGATCTGATCACTTGGCTATCAGCGCAGCGTGAAATTGATAGCGAGCCCTTGGCTCTAACTGCCCCTTGGGATAAGCTGCTAGAATTCTGAGCTGAAGCACCTTTTCGTCTTTTATCTCCCGCCATTGTCGTCGACTGTGTAGGCGAAGATTCATCCATTCGCTCATCTGTTTAGCTGGAGCAGCTCTGAGAAATTGTTCCTCGACCATTCCAAGGACGAAAAAGGTAAGTTGCTGTCAACTCGGACCACCTGTCTCCTGCCATCTTGACTCTTTTTCTGGCTTTTCCTTTTTCCTCTTCCCTATGTGTTTCAGTCTTGTTCGCTTCGCTACGGATACTGGAACGTTTTGGGGATGGGTTTAGCATAGCGCCGGCCTGTTTTCCGCCGATTGTTGAACGGGCAAACGAAAACAATTGGTAGAAATCGAGCTGGCGCGATGTCGAACCCAGCCTCCTAGACATGCCCCAGTCTCCGCAGCGAATATTACTGAACTTGTGTCATCTCCCATGCTATCTTACAATTCGCATATGAATTCAGAATGTCCACAACGTTTCGTTCTTCCACATTTTCGCTTGCACGAGCTAGAACGAACGCAAGACATTCCTGACGAGGACTGTTCCACGTCTGTTTACCCTACCAGAAACCGCTTGGCACCGGTTTAGAGGACGAGCGCCGTTTCGCGATCTATAGTCCAGGTAAGAGATTTGAACAACTTAAAGGCAGTTGGCGCATTGCTGGAGCGTTCAGCTAGTTGCAGCGTCGTGCAGGGTGGAAGGCTTATGGGAAAGCGTTTTGGTCCTAACTCCACTTAGCCCTTCTACCAATGACGTTGGCAAAACTCCTGCCCCAGCCACTGCGCCCATATGCTCTAATGAGATGTGAGAGTAATATATCTCCTAATACATTCCATCTTCACTTGGAGCGTGACCCCCCTTTCTCGAAGCGAAGGCGTTCGCTCCGGTAGAGCTGGCTCGCGATTTCGGTTGGGCTAACTCGTCACATGCCATAAACCTTTTGAGGCAGAGGGTGGTGTTAGGACCAAGGGGCGCCCTACACCGGCTCCCCTTGCGTTTCAAGCCGGGTTGGACTCCTCCGCCCAGATCAACCAGGCCTTCTACCCTCCGAGAACGGTGAATTTGTACTAAATTCGTCTGGGAAAGATAAAACACTGACTTTTACATGGGCTAATCCCCGCAGTCATTGGCATGGCCGCGAGCGATTCAATAAGCCACTACGATTCTGTATGGAAGCCGAATGCGCGCCGCATCCCATAAAGGAATTGATCAACGGCGAAGACTTTATCCTTTATCCTTTAGCACAACTTTTACGTCAAACCAGTTAGGCCTTGGAGTGAATGCGGCGCAGGTGACGAATTTTTACAACGTCGCTCCACCGCTACGTGGAACTCGTGACCTGCTCCCAGAAATATTGCATACTCACCTATCACTGGCGACAAGTTGGGTTCCAAAAAGTGCGATGTTGACCGACTGCGGCCCGAGCGCAGTGAAGCCATTGAGATAATACTACTGAAATGAATCAAAGCACAGTTTGAAATCGCTTCAAGTGTAACTTGCAATACTTTATACGGTTATCATATTTATTTCAATAATCAGAGCAGTTTTCTTTCGATTTGAAGCTACAACACCGTTGATGACTGTCGCGGATAACGAAAAGGAGGCGCTGTTTAGCGACGGGGGAGCATTTTGTACTAACATTGCTTCCCTAGTTCCGGTTTACGAATCTCACCATGGTAAAACTTGTGAACGCCTGTGAAGCTGGAGTAAGATCGTCTAGCCACCATCCTAAAACGTGTCAACTCGAGAAAAAGGCTACCTAGATGGGTCGGCACATCTATGAAAAGCCGAATGCCCCCCCGTCGACAAACTGCGCCCCGAAAAAGGAGGAAAATCGGAAAAGCTCGCTGTGGATCAGCAGCTCTACGGCGGAGTACCATGGGGAAAAGGGAAAAGCAAGTGGCAAATTTGGTGGCGTTGTAAGCGAATCCAAATGAGGTGCGCCATGAACTCTATTTCTATCCGATGTTCAAGAAGCCAGGGCTTTAGTGCAAATCATCTATGAGAAATACAACCTTTGTAGCTATTTTTACGTTTGAATAACTGTGGTGGTAACTTACTTTGTTATACTAAGCCTCATTGGTGTTTTCTGCGAGGCACAACCTTCATATCCACGTTTCATTGCTTCAACAATGGTGTTCATCAATTGACGCCATGAATTTATCAGTTCTTCCTCTTCACTTCGGTCAGCAT